ATGTAAAGATAACCTAAATAAACCATAGATTACAAGATCTAAATTAATGCTTTTGGTCTTAAAAAAAGATCAAAATTTTGTTCACACTTAAAATGTTTTAAAGTGTGGATCATCTCTGAAAAATGACTATGTAAAATATGCCACCTCTTCACTCAACAGGTTTGCTCCCTGTATGTATTCAGAGGCATTAGTGACAAAAATATGTTGGATTTTTAGTGTTTTTGTTTTGGTTTGGTTGGGTTATTTTACTCCTATTACCCCTGAACAAACAACACAGTTGTGAGAGAGAAGAAACTGTAATCTATTCCATTGTGTACAAAGAATTTTTAATAAGTTCCAAGCAAATATACCCGTGCAAACCCATTGAAAGCAAAGTGGTTGCATAGGAGTCAATATGGGTATACTTTGAAGGCAGTGGGGGTTGCACAAGTGTAATGAATATGTGGTTTGACCCGTAGAACCTTATCACCAATGTTGATGCACAAAATGGAAAAAACCCAGGTGTGACCCTTAGGCCTGGTCTACACTATGAGTTTAATTCGAATTTAGCAGCGTTAAATCGAATTAACCCTGCACCCGTCCACACAACGAAGCCATTTATTTCGAAATAAAGGGCTCTTAAAATCGATTTACTCCTCCCCGACAAGCGGAGTAGCGCCGAAATCAATACTGTCATTTCGAATTAGGGTTAGTGTGGCCGCAATTCGATGGTATTGGCCTCCGGGAGCTATCCCACAGTGCACCATTGTGACCGCTCTGGAAAGCAATCTGAACTCGGATGCACTGGCCAGGTAGACAGGAAAAGCCCCGCGAACATTTGAATGTCATTTCCTGTTTGCCCAGCACAGGAGAGCACAGGTGACCACAGAGAGTTCATCAGCACAGATAACCATGCAGGCCGATAATCGAAAAAGAGCACCAGCATGGACCATACGGGAGGTACTGGATCTGATCGCTATATGGGAAGAGGATTCAGTGCTAGCAGAACTTCGTTCGAAAAGACGAAATGCCAAAACTTTTTTGAAAAAATCTCCAAGGGCATAATGGAGAGAGGCCACAATAGGGACTCAGAGCAGTGCCGTGTGAAAGTCAAGGAGCTCAGACAAGCCTATCAGAAAACAAACAAGGCAAACGGTCGCTCTGGGTCAGAGCCGCAGACATGCCGTTTCTACGCTGAGCTGCATGCAATTCTAGGGGGGGCCGCCACCACTACCCCACTTCTGACCGTGGATTCCGAGGCGGGGGTAATCTCATCAGCCACACCTGAGGATTCTGCGGACGAGGAGGAGGAGGAGGACGAGCTTGCGGCGAGCACACAGCACTCCGTTCTCCCCAACAGCCAGGATCTTTTTCTCAGCCTGACTGAAGTACCCTCCCAAGCCAGTACCCAAGACCATGACCCCATGGAAGGGACCTCAGGTGAGTTTACCTTTTAAAATATAAAACATGGTTTAAAAGCAAGCGTTTTTTAATGATTAATTTGCCCTGAGGACTTGGGATGCATTCGCGGCCAATACAGCTACTGGAAAAGTCTGTTAACGTGTCTGGAGATGGAGCGGAAATCCTCCAGGGACATCTCCATGAAGCTCTCCTGGAGGTACTCCAAAAGTCTTTGCAGAAGGTTTCTGGGCAGTGCAGCCTTATTCCGTCCTCCATGGTAGGACGCTTGACCACGCCATGCTAGTAGCAAGTAATCTGGTATCATTGCATGACAAAGCCTGGCAGCGTATGGTCCCGGTGTTTGCTGGCATTCAAGCAACATCTGTTCTTTATCTCGCTGTGTAATCCTCAGGAGAGTGATATCGCTCATGGTAACCCGGTTGAAATATGGGAATTTAATTAAGGGGACAGAGGTGGCCCTTCCTACTGGGCTGTTTGCCTGTGGCTGAAAAGAAATCCTTCCCTGTAGTAAGCCAGGCGCGGGGAGGGGGGGAGTTTAGCGCTAAGCTTTTCCCGTGAGGCTAGCAGGGATCTTCCCTGATACCAGCCACGCGGTGGGGGGAGGGATAAAGTGATCATCCCAGAGAATTGGATGAGGGGGGGAGTTAGTTTGTTTTCTGCTGCTGAAGGTTAACAGAAAAACTGCAGCACTCAACGGGCTTTGCTTGGTATGTGGGAAAGGAGGACGCAGAAGCCGAAAGACAATGGCTTACCATGGCCGCATGCAAGCCGAATTCTGTTGCCCGGACCTGCGTCTGTGATCTCTAGCAGCAAAGCCACAGGCACTCAATATTAAGAGGCAAAATGCGACCTTGCACAGAAATCACATGTGCTATGTAATGGGAATAGTGTTGTTCACCGTGAAAGAGTATAAGCGTTGTTCTGTAAAATGTATCTTTTTAAAAAATTCTCTCCTTTTTTCCCTCCCTCCAGCAGCTTCAAATTTTTCAAGCCTCCCTCCTCCGTCCTGAAGGCTATCTCAGATAAGGCGTTGGAAAACGAGGACGCGAGATGAGATGTTCGTGGAAATCATGGAATCCACCCGCAATGAAAGAGCTCATCTGAATGAGTGGAAGGACACGGTTTCAAAGTATAGGAAAGATGCCAGTGAACGTGAGGACATGAGGGACCAACGTGAGGACAGAAGGGACCAACGTGAGGAGAGGAGAGATGCTCGAGATGAGAGGTGGCAGCAGGAAGATCAGAGGAGGCAGGATGCAATGCTGGGGCTGCTGCGTGAGCAAACAGACATGCTCCGGCGTCTGGTGGAGCTTCAGGAATGGCAGCAGGATCACAGACTGGTGCTACAGCCCCTGTTTAACCCCCCTCCCCTCTCAGCAAAAGGCTGTCATTATTTTAACCGTTTTTTAGTGGCCTTTTCCTTCCCTCCGATCCTCCTCCCAAACCCCACCCGGGCTACCTTGTCAATTCTCTCCCTCTTTTTTTATAATCAATTAATAAAGAATACACGATTTTTAAACGCTAGTGACTTTATTTCCTTTGAAAGCAAGCTGTGATTGAAGGGGGAGGGTGAGTTGCCTACAGAGAATGAGTCAATAAAGGGGGCGGGTTTTCATCAAGAAACAAACAGAACTTTCACACGGTAGCCTGGCCAGTCATGAAACTGGTTTTCAAAGCTTCTCTGATGCGCCGCGCTTCCTGGTGTGCTCTTCTAATCGCCCTGGTGTCTGGCTGTGTGTAATCAGCAGCCAGGCGATTTGCCTCAGCCTCTCACCCCGCCATAAATGTCTCCCCCTTACTTTCACAGATTGTGGAGCACACAGCAAGCAGCAATAACAATGGGGATATTGGTTTGGCTGAGGTCTGAGCAAGTCAGTAAAGTGCACCAGTGACCTTTTAAATGGCCAAATGCACATTCCACCACCATTCTGCACTTGCTCAGTCTGTAGTTGAACTGCTCCTGACTCCTGTCCAGGCTGCCTGTGTATGGCTTCATGAGCCATGGCATTAAGGGGTAGGCTGGGTCCCCAAGGATAACTATAGGCATTTCAACATCCCCAACGGTTATTTTCTGGTCTGGGAAGTAAGTCCCTTGCTGCAGCCATTTAAACAGAGTAGTGTTTCTGAAGACGCGAGCATCATGAACCCTTCCCGGCCAGCCCACGTTGATGTTGGTGAAACGTCCCTTGTGATCCACAAGTGCTTGCAGCACCATTGAAAAGTAACCCTTGCGGTTTATGTACTGGGTACCCTGGTGCTCCGGTGCCAAGATAGGGATATGAGTTCCATCTATCGCCCCACCACAGTTAGGGAATCCCATTGCAGCAAAGCCATCCACTATGACCTGCACATTTCCCAGAGTCACTACCTTTCGTAGCAGCAGTTCAATGATTGCTTTGGCTACTTGCATGACAGCAGCCCCCACAGTAGTTTTGCCCACTCCAAATTGATTCCCGACTGACCGGTAGCTGTCTGGCGTTGCAAGCTTCCACAGGGCTATCGCCACACGCTTCTCAACTGTGAGGGCTGCTCTCATCCTGGTATTCTGGCGCTTCAGGGCACGGGAAAGCAAGTCACAAAGTTCCATGAAAGTGCCCTTACGCATGCGAAAGTTTCGCAGCCACTGGGAATCGTCCCACACCCGCAACACTATGTGGTCCCACCAGTCTGTGCTCGTTTCCCGGGCCCAGAATCGGCGTTCCACGGATAGAATCTGCCCCATCAACAGCATGATCTCCAAAGCACCGGGACCCGCGGTTTGAGAGAATTCTGTGTCCATGTCCATGTCCTCATCGCTGCCGTCGCCGCCGCCTCCTTGCCTCGTTTTTCTGGTCCTGGTTCAGCATAAACTGCACGATAATGCGCGAGGTGTTTACAGTGTTCATGACTGCTGTCTTGAGCTGAGCGGGCTCCATGCTTGCCGTGATATGGCGTCTGCTGTGTTCACCCAGGAAAAAAGGCGCGAAACGGTTGTCTGCCATTGCTTTCATGGAGGGAGGGGTGAGGCTGTACCCAGAACCACCTGCAACAATGTTTTTTGCCCCATCAGGCACTGGGATCTCAACCCAGAATTCCAATGGGCGGGGGAGACTGCAGGAACTATGGGATAGCTGTGGGATAACTACCCACAGTGCAACGCCCCGGAAATCGACGTTAGCCCCGGTACATGGACGCACACCGCCGAATTAATGTGCTTAGTGTGGCCGCATACATTCGACTTTATACAATCTGTTTCCAAAATTCGAATTCTGTAAATTCGGATTAATCCCGTAGTATAGACATACCCCCTGTCTAAGTTAAGTTTGCAAGGTCTGAAACGTGGTTCTTTCTTTATTTTTTTTAACTAGTTTTACTTTTAAACTAAGCACATTTATGTGGAAATCATGGAGAGACAATAAACATGGAACCTGACAATAGCAATTTTACAAAGTCGCTTGTCAGAGTAAAATTGCATTTTAATAGCAGCCCTGTAACTGGGGACAGGTTGATATTGGACTAGCGCAAGTGGATGGAATATGTGAAGACCCAGATAAAGTAGCTACAATAGTCTGCATAAAAGCCCGTGACTTACCACTTACTTTCTCTGTTTTAATTTTAAGAAAACCTTCTAGAAGATGAGGGCAAACCTTTATTTGGATCTCTGCAAAATAGACAGGTATGTATAATCCAAGAAGTAATTAATGTTAATAAACACTGGACATTTGGAATTGCTGGCACCAAATACAGTAGTAATATCCAAAGAAATTCTGTCATGATCTCTGGAGTTTTTTAAATATTTGTGCTTTCCACATAGACTGATAACCTAAAAATGGGTCTGATGTCGCATACATTCCTAACTCTTGCATAGAAGTTCATACTTGATTCATTTATACTTCTTCAGTTATACTGGACTTGAAGGGGGAGGTATTCTAGCACTATCGTGTTTCATTAACCATTTATTTCCCCTTCCCTGTTCCACATTCTCTTCTTGTGCTCTAGCACAGTGGCCTTAAAGCATTAGTGCAGTTTGCAGCTGCTCAGAGGACTACATCACCACAAAGCCTGATTCAGAAACATCTGGTTCGTCTCCTAGCAGGTAACACATTATTTTTGTTTGTTTGTTCTCCACCCCCTTCTAGCCAATCTCTGCAGTGATTTTAAGTAATGTTCATGTAAACTTTCCTTAGGAAATGGCACACACCAATAATATAGCATAGAGAGGAAGGATGTTCTAGTGGTTACAGTTCTAATCTGGAACTCTAGAGACCTGGATTCAATTCCCTGCTATGCCAGATTTCCCATCACCTAGTCTCTTGTGTGCCTCCTTTCCCCATCTGTAAAATGGGGATAATACCTCACCTCACAATTGTGACAATAAATTCATTCAAGTTTGAGGTGCTCAGATACTACAGTAATGATAGGTTGATAGTTACACAGTTCAGAAAATGTGCCCACATTGAGTGGGCATGGGGAGGCTTTTACTGCTTTTGTAGCTGACCAGTCAGAGCCCTTCAGGATGGTAGAGTTTATATAAACAATGGCCTCTCAACCTGCCATTGTAATTCTAATGAAAAAAGCAATTAACATTTTTAATCAAATGTGTAATGAACTTTTGTTCTTGTAGTTCTTCTACCAAACTTAAAAATGGAAGACACGCCATCCATTCTAGATGTAGATATGTTTCACATTTTGGTAAGCATGTTCAGTTTGTTTTTGCAATTAACCGTATTGTCTCTGATGCATTATCCATTGTAGATCCACATGCAATTGCTGCTCTTTGTAATCAATTGATAGGTATTTTGTGTCACTTCATGAGTCGGCTTTGTTTGTGACTTAGAGCTAAAAAGATCATCAAACTAATTTAACTGAAAACATGGTCTCAGATGTTACAGGTTTGTGCTAAATAACTACACCACCATTAGAGAGGATTAATGAATAAGCCTAGGTGATTGTTAACTTATTGTCTCATTATCAGGTTTATGTGGTGTTTGTTTGCCCCTGGAACTACTACTGTGTCAATACTTTTGGCTGTTTTGTCTTTTTCCACTTTAGGTAGGTGCTGTGTTATCATTCCCATCTTTATATTGGGAGGATACTGTAGACTTGCAACCTTCATCTATTAGCTCTGCCTATAATCACCTCTACCTCTTCCATTTGGTCACTATGGCACACATTACACAGATCCTTCTGACCTCTGCAACAGGTAAGGGTATCTCCACCTTTAGATTTTTTTCATGCATTTTATCCAGTTTTTCCAAAATGACTTGGTAGACAATTTAGTGGAAAACTGTTAACGCCTTCTAGTTGTAAGAGCTTCATCATAATAATAAACATTCAGTGTTAATTGTTTCCTAAAAATAAACAAAAAAAACCCAAGTCTTTTCACTTGCATAGCTCTGTTTATGCATCACTTCTGTGCATTGGGCCTCATAAAACAAAGCAGCCATTTATATACCAGTAACTAACTGAGGCAGCCATATGAGACTAGTAGCATTCCACGTACTTTTGCTCCCTAGAAAAACCAAAGCATTGACAAAGTGCAGACAGCTCAGAGCTAAAGGTTTAGAAGGGACTCGGTGACTCTGGTTTTCTGGCACAGTGGTGGCCTGTGAATTTAGAGGTGAAATATGAAATTTGATAATCTGATTAGGATGGGAGTTGCACTGCTCTCTGTACTCACTGCTATGGAACAGTACTAACAGTAGCCTCACAGAACTCGTCTTGTTATGTTTCCCAAGAAACCCCACCCCCATTTAATGTCATTATATCATGGAAGAAGAAGATATTGAATCCTATGTGGTTACTGATGTAAGGGAGTAATGTCAAAAGATAAAGGAGAGGAAGCAGTTCTGTAATGAGGATGAGCAGTCCCCACTTTACGTCATGCAGTTTTGTGGGGGGATATTTTTGTTTGTTGGGTTGGGCACAAATAGGAAATGATCCAATAAAATGAAATGTAAATGTTTTTGTAACTTGTATATAAAAAGTTGAAAGTAATGGAGATGGAGATTTCTTTTCTATATACATAGAATCAAAGTGCGTTTACAACAGGGTTAATCTTTGTGTGCACAGAATCCCCCACTGCTCAATCACAAGATACCAGTGAGGAGGCTCATACTGCTGAGTCTTTCTGTAGAGAAGTTTACCAGTACACGAGTGGGTAAGTAACACTTCAGTTGTAACAATAAATGTTTTACAAGATGCATTGAAAAATACATGGAGATTCACCTGAGAAATACAAAAGAAAAATGGTTAGACGTACTTTAAAGGGGGTTAGACCAGGAGTCCATGTGCTGCATCAGCAATGTCTTCTGCACTCCTAAAAATTGGAAAAGATCTAGATCTTCTGTCTGAATGTGAAGTGTTTTTCCCCAGAAAATATGGGTATTGTATACATTTAAAATGGGTTGTGGTGTATCCAGACTAAATTTTGATAACATGCATTACAAGAATGTTAGCAGTGCTGATTATAATCCAGCTTTTTTTATCACATATGATATCAGTAGCCTTTCCTTTTTTGTCTCCATGTCTACTACAATTGTATTGTCAGTTGTGACTCTCCATAATTAAGTTTAAGGTATTGGTTTCTTCACACTTATTCCCATTTCTCTCTAAGATGATTTGAGGGGTTTTTGACAGAATTTCAAAAAGTTAAGTGTCTGCATATGAAAACCAATTCAATTTAAAAAAAAAAATCATTGGCTTTCTATAAGAAAAGGAAAACAATGATATGATTTAATTGCTGTATATGACATGCTTTGGAGCTGCCAACATCCTCCTCAATCCCAGGGAAAAAAAGTGAAGAAACTAAATGAAACTATCTTGAGCCAGTTTTTAGAGATGGACATCTGCTTGTTTTTAATAAAACTAAAAACACATTTGTAGAAACAATAGCGAGCACTTGAAGGATAACAGAGATGTTCTAAACAAATTTAACACTCAAAAAATTAGAAACTAGGTCTTGGGGGCTGTCTCTGACTGAGGAGTTTAGGCAATTTCCTACTGTTGCGCTAACACTACTGCAGCTCCACCAGGGTTAACAATGGTGGGAGCTTGAGATGTAAATAATGTTTAAAAAAAAAAGTAAATGTTTAAACCATTAAAATTTTACCAGTTAAAAGTTTAACCGTTAGGCTCTGCTTCCTCCCCACGTACCCGGAGACTCTGCTCGCTGCTGGCCACGGGTCCAGCTGCTGGGACCATGGGGGCAGGATGGAGGGAATGGCAGCTGGGGGCGGGGCGGCAGCAGAGTCCCGCAGCCAGAGTTTAAATGTTAACCAGAATACCTTACCAATAAGACTGATGCTTATCGGTTAATCAATTTACTGGTTAACATTTTACATCCCTAGTGGGAGCACTAGCCATAGACCAACACCCAGAACTGTTAGACAACATGGTGATAACCTTGTTTTGAAAATTGCCAAAAATCTTCAGTATAGTTATGGCCCAGGAGGGTATGTGCACTGAGCTTTTACAGATATTTCTGATTTGTGTGTTATAGCTGCTTTAGCCGTGATATTCCAGGCTGGCATCTGTGGGACTGTGTTAAGAAAGGGATCACACCTTACCTTCGTTGTGCTGCTTTGTTTTTCCATTACATGCTGAGAGTGCCTCCACCTGAGGACCTGCTGTTAGGTAAGTAGAAGAGGTTAATAAGTTTAGTTTTACTTACTTATTTTCCTTGTTGCATAGTCGAGTGCTTAAAGGTTCAAGGTATATATGTTTTTACAGTAGCTTTTGAAGCATGTTCAAAATAGAACTATGATGATTTCTTAACATTAGTTATACCATTATAGTATTGCTTTAAAAAGAAAAAACGAAACAGTATATGTGGAAGGGATAAAAGCGAGGTGTTAGATCATCTGGGCATTGCCTGTATGGAAAAGTTTTTCTTTTAATATAAGCAAATGTGTGAATTTAAATTGGTCTAGTTATACTAAAGAATTTCAGCTTATGTCTCTTGGGAAGAAGTTTGAGGTATACTGAAAAAAGCCATCCTTATGTCCAAAAAGTGTCCACATTTTGGATTATGTTGGTAGATCTGTTACTATAACCTGTGAGGCTTTCCCATGTAGACTATCCCCTAAGAGGTGTGCAGATAGAGCAGAGTGAAATTCAATAAAGAAGCTAGAAAGTAAGATTATCGTGTGTTATAAAAGTGCTGCCTCTCACTCTGAAGGATCCCAAAGCACTACACAAATGTTACATAGGGATTACATCATCCACCACTTAAAGATAGTGAAACATGGCAACAATCTAAAAGCATGCAGCAGTGCCACACAGCATTGTGAAAAGAGGTGAAAAAAAAAAGCGCTATAAACTATTGAAACTAAGTATAAAACCTTAAACTAATGATCCAGGTTTGAATTTGGCTAGGACACTGTGGTTAGCATGCTACCCTACCACATGCTGATGCTTGTGAAAAACATTATATAATGCCTAGAAATCAGGATCTCAGCTTTATGGTACATTCCATTGCCTCCTAACACCAGTCTGGAGCACTGGTTCTGTAGAAAGGAGTGTCCCCTGGTGAATCATTAGCATCAGTTTCTGGGGTCCCTAAGCATCACTGAGGGCTTTTCTATATTGCAAGAGAATGCGCTCTACAGGGGTGTGATTTCCAAAGAGCACTAACATGCTGCACGTTAATTGATCTGTGTAGACCCTGCTGGTGTGTGCCGAAGGTTCCGTAGTGCATCTTAATGTAGTGCTGTTTGAAACAGCTAAAGCACACTAGGAAACCTTTTATGCGCACCAGCAGAGTCTACACCAACCAATTAATGCGCAACATGTTAATGTGCTACAGAAATCTTATCCCCACATAGTATACATTACCCTACTGTGTAGACAAGCCCTAAGAAATCTCCCAGTCAAGTACAGATCTGACACAGCCTTGTTAACTTGTAAATTCTGACTGGATCATAGCAAAATTGAATATGATTGCAAGCCAAAAACGTAATGAAATATATGATGATTAGAAACACAGTATAAAGTTCTTCTTTGAGTAGTGTCCCTATGGGTGCTCCACTATAGGGTGTGTCTGCGTCTCTGTGCTGCTGATCGGAGAACTTTGGTAGCAGTGTCCATTGGGCCTACACATGCACTGTCTCTCCTTGTGCTGTGCCATGAGGCTAGTCAGCACGCGCAGGCTAACCCTCCTCAGTTCCTTCTTAACTGCCCATGACTAGAGACAGAGCCATTAGCAATCCTCTAAGACTAATTCTTCTCTTGTTTGCATTCACACTTAGTTTTCCACAGGTCTTGTTATAGTTTTAGTTATTTCTGTTTATTCCCACCCTTCCAAAAAAAAACACTTCCTGCTTTTCCACACTGGGTGGTACGCCCACCTCCCTGGGCTTCAAGAAGCGCCGCACCTGTAACGAGGCAATCCCAGATGTGGATATGCACTCTCAGTGCATCCCCTGCCTTGTCAAGGACCACATACAGCAAAAGTGTACCCTCTGCCAGCAGCTCTGGTCAAGATCCCGCAAGAGAGAGCTCTGCCAAAAAATTACCTTCATGGAGGCAGCTCTCCGACCTTAACTCCTGGCGGACGTGAGTCTTCCCCACAACCTTCAACTTCTAAGGCCAATAGGTCAAAGAAGCAGGCTGGTGACTCCTCTCACAAGTGTAAAGAGAGTGTGGGAAGTCCTCTAAGTAAGCTTAAAGATAGTCCAAGCGATCACCATGTCACTTAGTATCCTTGGCACCGTCAGCACCAAGACCACAGTCCAGCACCCATGCCTCACCACAACCATCAATAACCGGTACTGCTGACAGGCCCCATAGTGTTGCCCCTCTCCCAGGAAGTGGGTGGGAGGGGCAGGAAGTATAAAAGGTGGCCCAGAAAGCTCAGTAGGGAGGCAACCACTGGAGAGACTAGACGCCTCCTGTGGCCTCCCGAGCTGGGAAGTGGCGGAGGGTGCCGAGGAAGCAGAGGACTGGCCTGGGCCACCAGGGCCACTAGCTGATTCAGACCTGGAGGAAGCATACAACTGGCCCAGATCACCGATGGACCAGACCCTGAAAGACTTGCTTGCAGTCCTGGAAGCCGTCGTCAACCTCAACCCCTCCGCACGGCAACAGGTACACCAAGAAGGGGAGTGTGGAAGTGGCCCAGGGGTAACAGACCCGTCTGGCTGCAACGCTGACAGAGGGTGAGTCAGCGTGTTGCGGCATGGATCCCTGCTGCTAGGGCCCTGGGCCAGGACACAGTGGAGTGGGTGGGCCTGCGTCCCCCCTGCCACCCCAACACGGGGGTGGCAGTCTCCCCTTCCCCAGGCCAGAAGCCTGAGCCTCAGACTCCGTGTTGCCCCACCTTGATCCAGGGCCTGGGCTAATAGACTGTTTATTTGCTGCTAAGCCTGCACACAGGCCTGAGCCCCAGACTCTTTGTTGCCTCGCCTTGATCCAGGGCTGGAGCCAATTGACTGTTTGTTTCCTACCCAGCCTGAGCACAGGCCTGGGCCTGAGCTACGAGCAGAGACCGCTTCGTTCCCCACGGCGGCCGACGTATCAGTGACCTAGTGAGGTGGGGTGGCCTCCCGAGGACCCGGAGTGGGAGGGCCCCCGCACTGAGCCACTACCGCCCTCAGATCCTTTTGGCATGAGCACCGAATCTTTGGTACCAAGAGATATGGGCAAGCACCCTAAGAAGACACTCCCGGTACTCAAGTCGTCCTTGGTACCACCAACGGCAGCCTGCCCAGCACCAGAAATACCAGTGCAGACAAGATCTCCATCTCCCTTGGCACCACCACCGGGAGCTTGGCACTGGCAGAATTCCACCAAACCAGAGCCTTCTGCATGACAGATGCACCCGAGTCCCCACCTCTCAATACTGACATTGCGGCTCTGAGCCTTTAGAGTACGGGATATCCCCGCAACCGTGCCATGCCCCTCCACTGTCTACTGAGGGGTTGGACAGTGAGACAGAGGTGGTGGTCTCACAGTTCACCTCCCAAGCTCCATATGAGACCCAGTACAAACAGGGTTGAGAATGTAACCACAGATGGCTCCACCACCATTGCCATCTTGGTACAGCTACCCATGGACACCTCCACCAGGCCCTATGCAAACACAATGGCCATATTGGGACACTTGGGTGGCACACCAACAGCTGTCTCGTGAACTTCAAGCCTCGCCCGAGAACCCTCCCAGCACACTCCCTTGACCATGGCATCTAGGACCTCAGGAGATGGAGGAACAAGAAGCTGGTACTGAGGAGGATGTCACACAAAAGGCCATATCCTCTTCCTCCCCGGACGAAGCAGTCATCCCTTCCCCACCTTCTCTGGTAGATGATTTCCCTCTTTTTCAGGAGCCGGTAAAGAGTGTGGTGGACACTCCCCACATGGTACTAGAGAAGGTCAAGAACACCCACCGTCAGTTCCTTGATATCCTCCATTCTTCGTTGTCCTCAAAGATTGCCCTCCTAATTAGTGAAACCATCTTAGACCTGGCTAAAATGGTGTGGCAAACCTTGGAATTGGCATCTCCGATGTGTAATGGACAAAAAATATGATGTCCCCAAATAGGAATCAGAGTTCCTTTTTCTCTCATCGCCATCTAATTCTATAGTGATGGACGCTGTCAATTCCCATAGCCGACAGCACAAATCCAGGCCAATGCCCTACAACAGGGATTGGAAGCGTCTTGATCTTTGACAGGCATATTCCTCAGCCACCTTACAATTCCGTATTGCCAACTATCAGACGCTCATGGCCAAATACAATTTATACAAACTACAACAAATCTCCCCAACATCCACAACTCTTCCACACATCTTGGACCCTTAAAGTCAGGATTGTCCCTAAACTCTCTTAGGGTCCATCTAGCAGCTGTAGCATTCACTAACCTGTAGAGAGAGATTCGGTGCTGTCACACCCAACCACTAAAAGGTTATTCAAGGTTATAATAAACCTCTTCCCTCCACCCAACTTCCTACCCCTATGTAGGACCTACACCAGGTACTGAAAGGGCTGACTAGACCTCCCTTTGAACCCATGGCCACCTGTTCACTGATGTACCTGTCAATGAAAACGGCCTTCCCAATAGCAGCTACTTTGGCCAGACGAACAGGAGAGAGAGCAGCTCTGATGGTGCATCCCCCTTACGCAGTATTCTTTCCAGACAAGGTTACGCTCAGGCCCCATCCAAAATTTATTCCCAAGGTAACCTCTCCGTTTCGCATGAATCAATTGATTCACCTGCCAATCTTCCAACCCCCAAGACTCACCAAGACAACAGGGAGGCTATACTTCACACCCTAGATGTCAGGAGAGCCTTGGCTTTCTACCTTCATAGGACAAGAACCTTCAGGAAGTCCCCTAGACTTTTTCTATCCATTGTGGAAAGATCTGAGGGCTCAGCAATATCAGCCCAAAGACACTCTAAGGGGTCTCAAATTGCATCAGGCAGTGTGACCAAATTCACAACATGACCTCTCTAGATTTGATTCATACACAGTTCACAAGATTGATCTCCTCCTCTGTCGCCGTCTTCAAGAATGTCCCTTTCTCAGAGATCTGTAGAGTAGCAACATGGGGGTCAGTCCACACTTTTGCAGAACATTATGCAATCTCTAGGGACACCACCTCGGAAGCCATCTTCAGCTTGAGAGTACGGTTATCTATAATTGACCCAACTCTGAAGCCCGAGCCCTCCGGAAGGGATACTGCTTGGGAGTTACCTACAGTGGAGCACCCATAGGGACACTACTCGAAGAATAAGAAGTTGTTACTCACCTTGTGCAGTAACAATGGTTCTTTGAGATGTCTCTCTCTATGGGTGCTCCACAACCCACCCTCCTCCCCTCTTCTTCTGAGTTCTTGTCTATGTCTCTGTGGTAGAGAAGGAACAGAGGAGAGTTAGCCCGTGTGTGCTTACTAGCCTCGTGGCGCAGCATAAGGAGAGAGCGCACGTGTGGACCCAGCGGACACTGCTATCAAAGTTTTCTGATCATCAGCACTACAGGTAAGCAAACATACCTATAGTGGAGCACCCATGGGGGGACACTCTCAGACAGTCATCATTACTGTACAAGGTAAGTAACTTCTTCTTTTCATACTCAAATAGCAGAATCCTGCTGCTGTAATGTATGTACAATAAAGTGTGTATTCTACAATAATCCTCAGCCAGAGCCTCAATTTGTGTAAATTGGCATAGCTCCATTTAAAGTCAGTGGCGCTACATCTAGTTACACTAGCTAAAAAGTTACCCTAAATCTTTAAGATGTTCATATGAATAAGTTGTAAAAGGAATCAGAAGAATTCTGGTTTTCCATTATGTCTGCTGCTGATCGTGTGCCCTGTTCAGAAATACCTTTAGGAGAATGGACTGGCTGAAACTTGTTTGATGTATTTCTAATATTTCCTTCTTCTTTTGCAGTTTCCGAGGAAGGAGAGTTCAAGGCACTCTGTAGTTATCTATCTCTACCCACCAATCTGTTCCTGCTTTTCGAGGAATATTGGGGCACTGTAAACCCCTTGCTCCAAAGGTACTTGATGGAGATGGGGGAGCAAATGGAACCATCCTTCCATTTTGTGATGGTTGTAAGGGAATTTCAGATGAAATTAGTGAGTAATTGGTTACGCTCTGACCAATACCATATTGCAGTTGCAAAAGAATTGGCTTGATGAACAGAGTGTGTATTGAACCACTTACAGAGTTTGGAATTCGGGGGAGATGGTCATGTAATCTCCACACCTGCTTCTAATATTGACCAGAAAGAAATTGAGAGAGAGAGAATACAGCTGTGGGTATAAGAATGGACATTAAGAGGAAAGATAGTGCCAATACCAATGATGCTGACAATCAGGTAGGTGATATTAGCAGTAGAATGACTGTACCTAATTGGGTGAGGAATGTGGGCAAAACTAAGCAGAAACAACTAAGGTGTTCCTACGCCAATGCAAGAAGCCTCGGTAACAAAATGGAGGAACTAGAACTACTGGTGCAGGAAGTGGATAGGGATAAGAGAAACCCAGTGCAATAGTAGTCATGACTGAATTACAGATATTGAAAGGTATGTGCTGTTCAGGAAAGACAGAAATAAAAATAAAGGTAGTGCAGTAGCATTGTATATTAGTGATGAGGTAGACCATAAAGAAATTAGAAGTGATAGAATGGATAACACAGAGTCTAGTTGGGTCAAAATCACTTTGGGGAAAAAAGGCTACCAGAGGCTCTCCTGTGGTAGTGCATGGGGTATGTTACAGACACCCCCCCAGGATCCGATTTGGATATGGATAGAAACCTTCTTAATATTTTTAATGCAATAAATACTACTGGGAATTGTGTGATTATGGAAAGGACAAGTGCTACTAGTCATAGTAGGGCCCAGATTTTCCTGGATGTGGTAGCTGACAGATTTCTTCACTAAAAAGTCACCAAATCTACGAGAGGTGATGCCACTTTAGATTTGGTATTGGTGAGTAGTGAGGGTTTCATAGAAGAACTGGCTGTAGGGAACAACCTTGGTTTGAGTGATCATGAGTTAATTCAATTTAAACTCAATGGAAGGATAAACAAAAATAGATCTGCATCTAAGGACCTTGATTTCAAAAGGGAAAACTTTAAAACATTAAGGGAATTGGTTAGGGAAGTGGATTGGACGTAAGAACTAAAGAATCTGAATGTGGAGGAGACTTGGAATTAGTTTCTTCAATGTTGACTTAAAATATCTGAAGCCTGCATCCCAAGCAAGGGGAAGAAATGTGTAGGGAAGGATTGCAGACCAAATTCAATGAGCAGTCATCTCAAACAGGTTCTTAAGAGAAAGTAGAAAGCCTACAAGGAAAGGAAGTTGGGATGGATCAGCAAGGAAAGCTACCTCTTGGAGGTCAGGAAATGTAGGGAAAAAATGAGAACTGGCAAAAACCAGGCAGAGTTGAACATTGCAAAGGAAATTAAAACCAATAGTAAAAAGTTCTGTAGTCATATAAATAAAAAGAAAACAAGGAAAAAAGAAGTGAGACCACTAAACACTGAAGTTGGGGTGGAGATTAAAAATAATCTAGGAATGGTCCAACACCTAAACGAATACTTTGCCTCAGTTTTTAATAAGGGTAATGAGGAGCTATGGGGTAGTGGCAGAGTGGCTAATGGAAATGAGGTTGTGGAAGTAGAAATTACCACATTTGAGGTGGAAGTCAAACTCAAACAGTTTAATGAGACTAACTTGGGAGGCCCGGATAATCTATATCCAAGAATATTAAAGGAACTGGAACATGAAATTGCAAGCCCAATAGCAGAGATTTGTAATGAATGTAAGCTCCAGGGGTCATACCCTGTGACTGGAAAATTTCTAATATAGTGCCTGTTTTTAAGAAGGGGAACGGAGGAAGGGAAGTGATCCAGGAAACTACAGGTCTGTTAGTTTCACCTCAATTTGTATGTAAGGTCTTGGAACAAATTTTGAAAGAGAAAGTAGCTAAGGACGTAGAAGTAACCAGTAATTGGGCTAAAATACAACATGGTTTTACAAAAGGTAGATTGTGCCAGACCAACTTGATTTTTTTTTCTGAGAAGATAAGTGTTTTTTGGGGGTTTTTTTTAGACGCAATGGAATAGATCTAATTTTCAGATCTAGATCTAGATTTCAGTAAGGCATCTGATACAGTTCCAGATGTTGAAGTACATAAAAGTTTGTTACAAGAAGGAGGGAGAAAAATTCTTCTCCTTAACCTCTGAGAACAGGACAAGAAGGAATGGGCTTAAATTTCATCAAGGGTGGTTTAGGTTGGACATTAAGAAAAACTTCCTGACTATTAGGGTAGTTAAGCACTGTAATTAATTGCTTAGGGAGCTTGTGGAATCTCCATCATTGGAGATTTTTAAGAGCAGGTTAGATAAACACTTGTCAGGGATGGTCTAGATAATACTTGTCCTGCTATGAGTGCAGAGGACTGGACTAGATGACCTCTCGAGATCCCTTCCAGTCCTATGATTCTATGGGAAATTATTAGTTAAATTGGAGAAGATGGGAATTAATATGAAAATTGAAATGTGGATAAGGAATTGACTAAAGGGGATACTACAACGGGTCATGCTGAAAGAGGAACTCTGAGGTTGGAGGGAAGTAACTAGTGGGACCAATGTTACTTTAACATTTGTATTAATCACCTTGGCACAAAAAGTGGGACTGTCCTAATAAAATTTGCAGGTGACACAAAGTTCGTCTGTATAGCCAATACAGAGAAGGATCACAATATTATACAAGAATATTTGGACAACCTTGAAAACTAGTGTAATAGAAATGGGATGAAATTTAATAGTGCAAAGTGCAAGGTCATGCACTGAGGGACTAACAACAAGAATTTTTGCTATAAAATGGGGACTTATCAGTTGAAGCGACAGAGGAGGAGAAAGATCTGGGTGTATTAGTTGTTCACTGGATGACTATGAGTCGCCAATGTGATGCGGCTGTGAAAACGCTAATGCAGTCCTAGGATGCATCAGGCTAGGTATTTCCAGTAGAGACAGTGAAGTGTTAGTATCATTATACAGGGCACTGGTGAAACCTCATCTGGAATACTGTGTGCAATTCTTGTCTCCCATGTTTAAGACAGGGAAGACCTATCTTATGAGAAGAGACTCAAATTACTTGGCTTGGTTAGCCTAACCAAAAGAAGGCTATGGGGAGATATGATTGTTCTCTATAAATACATCAGAGGGATAAATAGCAAGGAGGGGGAGGAGTTATTTAAGTTAAACACCAGTGTTGACACAAGAACAGATGGATATAAACAGCTCATCAACAAGCTTAGGCTTGACATTAGATGAAGGTTTCTAACCATCAGAGGAGTGAAGTGCTTCTAAGGGGAGCAGTGGTGGCAAAAAACCTAACTAGCATCAAGACTGAGCTTGATAAGTTTATGGAGGGAGTGGTATGATGAACCTACCTACAATGGCATGTAGCCGATCTGCGATTGCTAGTAGCAAATAACCCCAACAGACGGTGATGGGACTCTAGAGGGGAAGGCTCTGATTTACTTCAGAGAATTCTTTCCCAGGTATCTGACTGGTAGGTCTTGCCAAAATGCTCATGGTCCAACTAAGCTATATTTGGGGTCAGGAAGGACTTTTCCCCTGGGTCAGATTAGCAGAGACCCTGTGGGGTGGTTTACCTTCCTCTGCTGCATGGGACACAGGTCGCTTGCAGGTTTTAAACAAGTGTAAATGGTGGATTTTCTGTAACTTGAAGTCTTTAAATCAGGATGTGAGGACTTCAGTAGCTCAGCCAGAGGTTATGGATCTATTACAGGAGTGGGTGGGTGATGTTCCGTGGTCTGCAATGTGCAGGAGGTTAGACTAGATGTCCCTTCTGACTTAAGCAGTTTGAATATCTTAGAATAATTTATCATGGCTGTATTAAACCAAAATAAATGACTCATTTGGAATTGGTGCATATAGAGGGGATTGCAATCAGCATCCATGAAGGAAGTTATCCTGGAGTGTTGCTTTTGTGTTATACGATTCCTTGCTCATTGGTCTGTCTTGTCAGCCCTATCTGCCCCCAGGACAGGCACCGACTATGATGGTATCTGAAAGCAGGGTTCTTAGTCTGACATAAAGTATAACCTGCCAGTTCTAGCTTTGGGCTATATCTCCCTGATTTCGAAAACAGAGTCTGATTAGGTGCCGTAGTTGACTTACTAGTTAAAAGTAGGGTATTACCCCAACAATATGGATGTAGAAATCTATCTGTAAAGGAGGGATTGGTTAAAACTAAGAAAAACTACTAGAACTTCCACATCACTGTCTTGAAGAATGTCCACATTCAGCTGAGTCCACTGCATGTAATATTAAAGTTAATATTTTGTTATAGTAATTGGCTTTCTTGGTTCCTGGTGAAATTCTCTGCTTCTCTTTTTCTCTCTTGCCCTCTGTCATCATGAGGCCTCTGTGTTGTCCAGCATACTTCAACCAAGGAGATATTTTGAGCCTATTGATTCCAACCTTCTGTCTTAATACTGCCTCAGATTATCCCCAGATATACTAAATATAATTTTGCTTCATTTATTTGAAGAACAACCTCCAATAAGCAACTGGGTTTTTAAGTCCGTTATGTGGTTGCTTATAAGGAAAAAGGGGTGTGTGTGTTTAATGTAACAGACATTCCTTCCAGCTGAGACTGAACACATTATCCCCACAATAGCGCTCCCAGCTCAAAGGAGAGGGATTCCAAATGTGAGACCAGATCTTTTAAGTAGTAATAACGCTATTGCCTGTGGGGGGGGGGAGGGGTGTGTGTTTATAAAATCAGTTGTTTTTGAGAAGTGCCACTGAAACACATCAGCTAAAATGACCAATCGCTGGAGGTCTCTCTTCTCCTCTGCTTCGTAGAAGTAGTATAAAATAACTGTCTCAGCAAGAATACCAAAGCAGTCATTTCATTCCTGTGATTAGCAGCTTGGCAGTACAGTAACTTACTACACTGTGTAGATGGATATGTTTTGCCATTATAAACATAAATACAGTAAACATTTTCAATGGTGCATTTAAAAAAGTGTTTGAAAAGCAATCACTAGAAGCAATAAATACTACATTTAAAATGTAGGATATTTTTAATGTACAACCTTGATCAATAGGTATTCCAAGGGAAGCAGTGTGTGATAGTCCATGTTCACATTCTGAGAAAATCAGCATTTGCAGATGGTGTGAACGTCTTTTGTGTGTGTTTCATTCTGGTGAAATCTTTATAATTTTGTGTTTTTAAAAATAGATTTCTCTCTTGCATAAACTTTCAAGATTTTTCACTACTTTTTTAGATTTGTGTAATTATGCTTATTAATTATATATAGTGTTCATACAATATAGTTTGTGAATATTTGTCTGATACAGGTGGTGTGCTGACCCTGCTGTACTAAGTTTTCTGAAAGGGAAAAACATTTCACTAAGGTTAGTTTCATTTTTTCTGGGCTTTGTTTTTGATCTGTAACAGCTGAAGGAGCTGGGCTCTGGGTAGTTAAAGGAGGGCAAGTCTTGCAGTTAGGGATTCCTTGCTTCCTCTTGCACCTTTGCCATAAACACACCCACCTCTTCAAATGACTTTACAGGATTCCTTTATCAAGACTAAACAATTACTATTCTCTCAGAACATCAAACATTTTACCACTCCACCCAGACATCAGCTTTTTTCTGGGGTGGGCTAATGTAACAATTGGTAACATGAGATAACCTTCATTGGGTTGTAAAATATATGCCCATTCCATGCAAATTTAGTTTTCTTACCTTTGTTGTACATTTACTGTGGAAACGTTTCCTGTGTGGTTTGTCTTATACCCCTTATTTTGGCTGTTAGAGGTTGTGACATGATTCTAGGTCCTGGGAGTTTGAAAGAGAGGACAGTAAGTTTACTAGAGTGGTGAACTATTGGCAGTATGTGTCCATTCTGTTTGTTGTGATCTTGTGTGGCTGTATCCTTCATTAATATTTTTTACAGTATTTCTTCTTCCGCTCATTTACTAGATATCCAAGGAAAAGAAATAATTTGATAGAGCTTCCAGAAGACTACAGCTGCCTCCTGAATCAAGCCTCTCAGTTTAGGTAAAAAGTAGCAGTTTGATCTGCCTTCTTGTCAAGTGTTTTCTCCTTTTCATATTCTTGCAGTTAGTGTAACCCATGTGACACGTGGCAAAACTATTACAGAAACAATTCTGGGATGGAAATCAAATGCTGCCACTTCACCAATCCAGGAACAACTGTTGTCTGTGATGTTCAAGTCTGGGAAGAGTATTGCAAAATTTGAAGTGAACATACTGTTTTGTTCCTAACCATCAATAACCAGCAGTCCATTTTAAGTATGATGCTACTTACTTTACCCATAATTACCATATATAAAACTATTACAGCTTAAAGCACTGACACACTTCAGTAAACAAATGTAGGTTTGAACTAGCTGACAGTTGTTTTCACCATTGCCCACTCCAGGACCAGAGGTTTGGCACTGGCTTTGAATGGGAATACTGAACCTTTCCCACAGATGAAGTGTTGGTAGCAGAGAAGACAGAGTGAAAATATATCATTTCACTTTAGTTATTCTTCCTGTGGAAAAGCATGGAAACATGGATATAGCCAAAGTGCTTTTTAATTCTTTCTAAAGAGAATTTTGCTCATGGAAGTTTGTTTTGTATTTTAACAGTAGTGAACTTAATGCTCATGAATGAACCACTGGTTTGATCTGTGAATAGTGAGGAGTCAGGCACGGAGCAAGTTATGCTATGTCACCCTGCCAGTGCTGCTCCTGACCTACATCACCTTACCCACTTTGGCATCCTAGTACTGTGCCTGTGTGTCAGTTTTGTTATTTGTATAAATGGGCTAGAATAACATCACTGAATTTACTTCCACTTCTGACTTGATTCAGTTCCTAATCCTGCATTTTCTCAGTTTTTAGTTTTAATAAGGCACATTTCTCGGATTGGATATCTACATTAATGATTTACTGAAGAGAGGTACATTATTCATGGAGAGGAGGAGGTTTTCTCATTCCATTCATGCTGATTTAATATGCATTTTAGCAGTCTTTGGATCCTGCTGGAGTCTATACGCTGATGCAGCTTTCTCCTTTCATTTGTTTCCATTAAATACAGCAGGAGTTTCTCAATGTTTATAGTGTGATCCACATCTTAACAGAAAGATTGTTGTTGACCATTCCCTTCCATTCACAATTGCATGGGTCACCTAATCTGCCATTTGCAATTGAATAAGATCCCAATGGCAACTACAGCCATTGATTACATGGGAAAACTAATAGGAAAATATTAAATGTAGTTTTAGTTGTGTTAACAGTTAGGAAATGAAGAGGAGAATTACTATCATGTGAACCGGCCTGGACTTGGAGCAATGCTTTGCAAGACCGTAGCTTGAGAACCTCTGGAACATCACTTGGTAGATGTAATGTTGGGAAAAATAATGTCCCATGAGATCACAGAATTAACAATTACTTTAGAAAAGCTTTCATTGGATTTATACCAATTTTCCCCCCTCCCCAGCTGATCTATACTCTAGAGAAGCACCTCTTTCTTATGAGAAAAATTAGAACAAATTTTACCAGATAGTTTCTGAGGAAGCATTGTGATTGATGGTACCTCTTTTCTGAAAAAGGCCTTCTGGTCAAAACAGCATAACTGACTCTCCTTTTTTTTTTTTTAACTTTTCAATGTATTTGAAATAACTATTTTGGTTCCATACTGCACTTAATTACCACCTTTCTCTTTACAGGTGCCCACGGTCTTTTGACGATGAACAAAAGCACCCAGTGTTGTGTTTGTTCTGTGGCACCATGTTATGCTCCCAGAATACCTGCTGCCAGGAGTTGGTGAATGGGGAGGAGCTAGGAGCCTGTACCTCTCATGCTCTCCAGTGTGGAGCTGGAGTGTGTATGTTCCTCAAGTAGGTAACTGGCCAGTATGTAATTTTTTGCAGGGGAAAATAACTTAAGAAGGCCAGATGACACAGAAGGGCAAAAAACCTCATACTCTTTGGGACTGGGGAGAAAGAGCCAGCTTTTGACATACACTGTAGGCCAGTGGTTCTTAACCAGACTGCTGTATCCCTTTCAGGAGTCTGATTTCTCTTGTGTACCTGCAAGTTTCACCTCACTTAAAAACTACTTGCTTACAAAGTCAGACAAAAAAATACAAAAGTGTCACAGCACACTATTACTGAAAAATTGCTTACTTTCTTCTTTTTACCATATAATTATAAATCAATTGGAATATAAATATTGTACTTGCATTTCAGTGTATAGTATATAGAACACTATAAACTAGTCACTGTCTGTATGAAATTTTAATTTGTACTGACTTCGCTAGTGCTTTTTATGTAACCTATTGTGAAACAAGGCAAATATCTAGATGAGTTGATCTACCCCCTGGAAGACCTCTGCGTACCTCCAGGGGTACGAGAACCACTGCTCTAAGCCACCAAAAAGTTAAATCACCCTGCAATAAAACTGCAATGTTGGTCAATGGGTAGTGCTATAGTCTGAAGATGTCCAGTGCACCCTTTGTCATGTGTTTACAGAATACCACAAAGCCAATAAGTCTATATTAACAGTAACTACTTTTCAGGTAAAATAACAAGTCTGTGCTGCAGGATCTTGCATTTGGCTTGCATTTTCAAAGTATCATAAGGGAGTTAGGCGCCCTACTCCTTTAGGCTCGTTAGAAAATCCTAGCCTTTTATGCATGTTTAGTGCCAAGTTGTTAGTGTATGTGATGGACAAATTACTTACACTTTTAAAAATGCAGCTTTTTATGCATTGTTGAGTACTGTAAAGGGGCTAAATCTGATTTTTGTCTATTAATTTTGTTCTCTGTAGCTTAAAAATGGCTGAATTGACATTGGGGTGGGACCAACTTGTTCAGAGGGCTTGAGGCATGGGATCGAGTGGTTTTGGAGGGAGCAACATGCATACCTCCTCTGAGAGGTTTGCTATAGTGTGGAGCTCTTAAGGGGGAGAAATAACAGAACTCCAAGAGCATCTGTAGGAGGAAGAAATTATTTCCTGGAGGTTTCAAAACAGATTTAACTGGCATCCGAGCTTTTACCTCCTTGCACTGCCCATCAGGAGTGAGTTTGCTCACACATACACACAGAAAAGGAAGGAGAGCAGTATTTATTTTCTTTAAAAGACTGCAATAATTAACTAAAGTTTCTCAGTTTTAATAAACATGGCTAGCACTTAGCACATTCTCTGTATAAGTGGTATCCTCCCAGTTAGTGAAGATTAGCATAGGGGTCACAGTGAAATGTCAAGAATGTTCTAGTAGCTAAGTGAAGAGGCAGTTGACTGACCATACCCAGATAACAGAATAGTGCAGTCCACAAAATAAAGAAATGTAATAGCTGATTATTCTTCAAGTGATGTCACATGTCCATTCCACTCTTGGGTGTCGGTGTGCACAGCACATGGCCATCAGAAACTTATTCCATCAGTGATACCCATTGGGCAGCTCAAGCTCAGCCTGCTGGTGCACACCATTGTGCAGAGTTGTAAAGGGCAGAGCTGCCCCTACCCCCACTCAGTTCCATCTTACTGCCAGTCGTTGGAACGCTACAATACCAGAACAGTTCTCTTGGCCTTTGTGAATATTTTGTATGTGTGTCCACAAGGAGCATTGTATACAATATTTTGTATAGTCCAGTCTTCAGCATAGTTATGATGGTTAGACTTCTTTTCAGACTTGATTTCCTCATTTGTGGGGTTTTCTGTTTGTGGTACCGGAGTATGCCCCAATCACCGGGCTTCAAACTGTGCACTTTGTGCTCAAGGCCTATGCCAGTGATTGATCCGTGTAATAGCTGCCTGAAGTGCTTGGGGAGGTGCACATAAAGCACTTGTGAGGGGATTTCAAGCCTAGAACAAAGAAGGATAGGGAGGCTAGGCCGAAATTCTTGCTGATGGAGGCAGCGCTCAGGCCTCTGTCAGAGCCATCCCAGTCTTCCTCAGTGCTGAGTGCTCCAGATTCATTGAGAAAAGCGCCTCCACCTTTAGAGGAATCCCAGCACCATTCTACCTTGCCCACACTGAGGAAGAAATACAAACTTCCAGAAAAACCCCAACCAGAAGAAGATGTAAAAAAAAAAAAGGGGGGGGGGAAGGGATAGCTCAGTGGTTTGAGCATTGGCCTCTAAACCCAGGGTTGTGAGTTCAATCCTTGAGGGAGCCACTTAGGGATCTGGGGCAAAATCAGTACTTGGTCCTGCTAGTGAAGGCAGGGGGCTGGACTCGATGACCTCTCGGGGTCCCTTCCAGCTCTATGAGATAGGTATAGGTATGTCCACTTTCTAAGTCTGGTGAGAGGGGCGAGAAGGAGTCGAGTAGAGTACACCTGAAACCTAAACACTCCTCCTCCAAATTGGTGACTGAGTTGACTCCAGCACCACAAGGAGCATTGTCAAGCCTGCCGCAAGAAGCAGCACTGTCAACTTCTTGGGCACTGCAACAAGGGATCATCTCCATGTCAACTACCCCAGAAGCACTTGCAGAGCAGATTTCTTGCTGCTGCCTCTTGGTGACTGTTTCCTTCCTTATAGGAGTCCAATCCCTCTGCATTGCTGCCCCGTCGGCCAGCAATTTAACCTCCAGTACCCCAGTTGCCTGCTTTCTGGATAGGTGGGCCCTCGGTACCCTCTAAGGGGAAGCATGCAATGATGGTGTCGCTTCACTCATCGCCAGTCTCTTGGAACTGGTCACCAGCACCAACTAGTTCAGCCCTGCCATTGTCAGAAGAAGGGGAATCTTTGTTGTCAGGCTTAGAGGTGGGATTTGATGACTCGCAACCCCAAAGCAAAACCCTCCGGGCCCCTCAAAGATCCTCTCTTCCGACCTATCACCCTGACCTCTGAGTGGGACTTGCCATAAGAATGTGGCCAGGACAATGGGGCCTTGTCCTGTACCAGTGGTTGTTTTGAAACAGTTGGGGGTTTCTCCCAACTTTCAGATCTTCACCACACCATGCATACTTGAGACCCTCATCTAGAAGGGCAGAATCTGCACACCGAGAGGCTCCGTCCCCAGAGTCCAGTAACAGGCCTAGTATGAAGTACCAAGAAGAGGTTCCAGAACCAGAGCAACAGCCATTAGAAGAGATTCTACCCCTTCCAGTCTTGGCTTCCTCTCCAGATGAGGCTGTTTCATCTGGGATAACTTCACCTCCTCCTCCTGAGGATTTTAAAGTTTATCAGGAGTTGTTAAAGAAAGTGGCTGAAGACTTAAGTGTACAGGTCGAGGGGTTAGGGAATCCTCACGTCACCTGGTGGCCAATCAACGAGGCCATACTAGAGCCTATAAAGGCTTTATGGCAAACTCCATCCTCTTTGGCTCCCACCTCTAAAAGGGCAGAAAGAAAGTACAATGTACCTGCCCAATGTTTTGAGTACTTTTAGACTCACCCACCTCTGGGCTCATCAGTCATCACAGCAGCACCAGGCTGCCATGCACAAGTCAGAAGATGCTAAGAGGCAAGAGTTATTCAGCAGAAAGATTTATTTGATGGGGGCTGCAATTGCATATTGCTAACCATCGGGCTCTGTTGGAGTGTATAATTTTAATTTGTGGGGCTCCATGGAGAAGTTCAGAGAGCTGTTCCTGGAGAATGGTAGCCAGAAATTCTCTCCCCTGGTCCATGAAGGCAGACTAGTCGCAAGAACATCACTGCAGATGGGGCTGAATGCAGCAGACTCAGCAGATAGAAGCCATGGCTTCTGCAGTTGCCAAGCGTAGATCTTCCTGGTTGCAGTCTTTTGGTCTTCCCTATGAAGTCCAGAATATTATCCAGGGCTTGCCGTTTGAAGGTCCTTCTCTTATCTCAGACCGTCAGCAAGCTCCATTAACTTAAGGACTTTAGAGCCACCTTGAAGTCCATAGATCTATACACACCTGCCCTGGTCAGGAAGCATTATTGGCCCCAGCAGACATACAGATATTCCATTTCTCCTTCTCAACAGGACCTGTCAAAAAAAGTGGTCCAGGGTTATATGCATAGGCCTCCCCATCCTGCTGCTTCAGCTCCAGCAGCGTTCCCTCTAATTTTTCCCACCCATGTGTGGAATGAATTTTGTTATGTGCACCAATATGGCGGTGATGTGTGACACATCACCTTCATATTGGTGCACACAAAAAAAATCATGCGGTGGGGTGGGGCCGAGGGGTTCTTGTGGGAGGGGGCTCAGGGCTGGGCAGAGGGTTGGGGTGTGAGGGTGTAAGGGCTCCGGCTGGGGGTGTGGGCTCTGGGGTGGGGCTGGGGATTAGGGGCTCAGGGCTGGGGCAGAAGGTTGAGTGCAGGGGTTGAGGGTTCCAGCTGGGAGTGCGGGCTCTGGGGTGGGGCTGGGGATGAGGCTTTGGGGTGCAGGAGGGTGCTCTGGGGCTATGCGGGGAGAGAGGATTCCCCCCAGCACTTTCTCCCTGCAGCAGCACCTGGGCTGGGGCGGAGAGGCACCTGTCCCCGCTGCAGGGGGTCTGGAGCGGCAGGATAGGTGCCCCTCCCCCAGGCCCAGGCCAGGGGAGGGCCGCTCCTGGGGCCAGGCCACGCCTGGGGCTGGGACCAGGCCGCTCTGGCCGCAGCAGGTCGGGGCCACAGGGTGAGTTGGGGCCAGGGGAGGGATGCCTCTGCCCCGGCCACGGAAGGTCCCTGGGCGGGTTCCCTAAGTGCCTGTGTGGTGCTAAATAGATTGCTGTGCCGCTGTGCAGCTTACAGGGAATTTAGGGCTCCAGCTCCGGGCCCTTCAAGATAGCCTGGAAGTGCAATCATTTTGATGGTCAGTTGAGATCTACATACCAGTCTCCATCTCTTCAGAGCCAAACTACCTCACCTTTGCAAACCATCTGTCCCACTTTCACTGTGCTTGGTCCTGAGTAACTTCAGACCATAGGGTCTTGAGCACTGTGGAAGTGGAATATACTCTCCAGTTTGTTTCTGCCCCTCCTCCCACCTTTCCTCCCTGTCCTTCAGGGACTACTCTCACAAGAAACTCCTTATCGAGGAAGTACAATAGCTACTTCAGTTGGGAGCCATAGAGGAGGTTCCATGTAGTCCCAGAGGGAAGGGGTTTTATTCCAGAAATTTCCTAATCCCAAAGGGAAGGGGGATTTCAGGCCAATCTTAAACCTGCATCCACTCAACAAATTTTTAAAAAAAAGATAAGTATTTGAGAGGTAGCCGTGTTAGTCTGGATCTGTAAAAAGCGACAAAGAGTCCTGTGGCACTTTATAGACTAACAGACGTATTGGGGCATAAGCTTTCGTGGGTGAATACCCACTTCATCAGATGAATGTAGTGGAAATTTCCAGAGGCAGGTATAAATATGCAAGCAAGAATCAGTCTAGAGATAACGAGGTTAGTTCAATAAGGGAGGATGAGGCCCTCTTCTAGCAGTTGAGGTGTGAACACCAAGGGAGGAGAACTGCATTTGTAGTTGGCTAGCTATTCACAGTCTTTGTTTAATCCTGATCTGATGGTGTCAAATTTGCAAATGAACTGAAGCTCAGCAGTTTCTCTTCAAAGAGAAGAGGGCCTCATCCTCCCTGATTGAACTAACCTCGTTATCTCTAGACTGATTCTTGCCTGCATATTTATACCTGCCTCTGGAAATTTCCACTACATTCATCTGACGAAGTGGGTATTCACCCACGAAAGCTTATGCTCCAATACGTCTGTTAGTCTATAACAGGGGTCAGCAACCTAGGGCACACGTGCCAAACACGGCATGCAAGCCGATTTTGAGTGGCATGCTGCTGCCTGCCACGGTCCCGG